CTGCTGTCATCATTCCGCACACGCGGAAGCAAAAAAGATGAAGACACGTGCTCGAACCGTAGTCTTTTGGCCGAGTATAAGCAGCGACATCGAAGAAGTAGCTCGACGCAGTCAAACCTGTCAAACGTACAGGCCTAGAAATGCAAGGCTGCCACTGGTAAACCACGATGTCCCATCTCTATTTTGGAAATTTGTAGGAGCCGACTTTTGGCATCACGAAGGCACCGACTACTTGATTGTTGTTGACTTTTATTCGTTCTTTTTTGAAATCAGAGCGGTTCAGACGACATCAGCCGACAAGGTGATAGCAGCCTTGGCCGACATCTTAGCAACACATGGCTTCCCGATGCAACTATGCACCGACAACAGCCCACCATTCAGCAGTCACAAGTTCGAGGACTTTGTCGGTGAGATCGGCATGCAGCACGTCCGTTCTAGTCCGTACCATCCTCTCTCCAATGGAATGGCCGAACGCAATGTACAAGGAGCTAAAAAGCTCCTAGGGAGGTATCGTTACGGTACCATTGGGTTCTGTGCCGCATTGCTTGAATGGAGGAACTCTCCTCGTGACTCCTCTCTGAAATCTCCTGTACAGCGACTAATGGGCCGCCAGACCAGAACGCTGCTCCCTGTGCCAGCCGGCCACCTACAGCCCAGGATCGTGCCACCCAAGGAGGTACGCCAGCGTCTTCAAAACATCAGACAGAAACAACGTTCCTTCTACAACAGAGGGACACAATCACTTCAAGAGCTTCCTGTTGGCTCTCCCGTCATGGTGTACAACGTGCCCACAAGGACGTGGTCCTTTGTCAAGGTCGTACAAACGGCAGACACCCCGCGATCGTAGATCGTGGAAACTGAGGAGGGACAACAGCTGCAGTGGACAAGAGAACACCTCAGGCCGGCACCACCACCACCTCCCAGGGCAACCATAGACCCCCCAGAACGATCTGAGAGACCAGAACAACAACTACGCAGAAGTGACCGATTGCGTCAACCACCAAAAAGATACCCGATGCCAGAGTTCTAATCATGAAATAATTAAACTCAAAGAAAAAAAGGAAGATGTGACGTAGTGCACAGTCACGCACACGCACTTATCAGTCGAGAAACTACGCCCCCCTCCGAGATCTATATGAACGCTGATTTCCTGGAATAAAGCACCTATTTTACACGAGACGCTGTCGTAGATACAATCAAAGATGACGAAAGAGGGTTCCAGCACATGTAGTGCACACCTACATCTGGGTCACTTCAGGGACACGGCGACTGCTGCGCTCTGTACACGGACCCGGGCAAAGCTTCGCAAATATTAGCACCACTTCAAGAATCTTTATTTTAAAAAAAATATCCAAAATGTTGTTTCTAATTTGAGGAAATTTTTAACGTGGCTTCCATGCTGCATCGAGGCTTGGCTTACGCAGTTTCCGACAGACCTTATCCCTATTGTTTCTTTCACGACTCTTTTTATATCATTCCGCTCCTCAGAACTTACGTCTCTGACCGCAGTACAATTGTTGCATTCCTGAATGTGCTTTGCGATTTCTGAGTTCGACGCATTTGTGCTTACATTTATCTTATGTTCTAATATCTAATAGCCTGTCTTTACGTACCTCGAGGTTTGTCCGACGTACTTGAACCTGCATGCTAACGTATCATGCACCACACACTCTACGCAAGGAACTGAAGATTCCCGATGAGCCTTCTGGCAACCTTTATGGTTTGACTGAAATGGCGTCAACCTGCTCATTTTGAAATCTGAGGAGAATAATTCGTCTACTCCAAACCTTTTGTCGCAAGCCATTAAGTTATCGGAAATCCCAAGGAAATACTGCTATTCTCTTTCTTGTTTGTTCCTTTTGCAGACGGCCATCTTTAAACTTCAAATCCAATTGCCTCCTTATGAATTTCTCTTCACATCCTGCAGCTTCCAGCCTCATCTATTGTGCCTTCACAGCACTGCTCACAAAAATATGCACTTATGCGTTTGTTTTTAGGTATTTTACAACCCCTGGCTTTACTTATTTAGCACGACTACTATTTCTACTTAACACAGGTTCGGCGTTTATTTTCAATACTCCCAGCAAAGACCCTGTTTTATATGTATGCGTAAATCAAGAAATTGTAGGATCCCATCTTCAGGTTGTTCTGTTGCAAACTTAATGTGTCTGCTGTTCTTATGATCCCTGTTAAGCAACCATTGTGTTGTCTTGTCCGTTTTTTTCATTTCTCCTTTTCTCAGGGTTTTCAACTATGTCGTTTAACCAGCTCGCCTGCACTCTTTCCCTTCTGACATTAGGTTGTTTTTTCGTGTAGCTGGTCAGTTACGGCACTATCTATGGTAATTAGTTAGATTTCTGCTAACTTCGGAACCATGGAGGATCTGATGCACACGTCATACCTCGGAAAACATTTCAGACCATTATATTCAACAACTTTGTCCTGAAGGCACACTTCAAGAATAGAAAGGAAACTGTTTACGGCGATACCTATCCTAGACTGGAAGTTTACCAAATTCAAGTCTACCACTTGCCTAACTCTTTGCAACTGGCGGGCTTTCTCTAGTGAATTGTATAAATCCTTGATGTCCATGGACCATACAGAACACTGTTTTCTACAAAACCACTCTAGAACATTGATTGGTGCTTCCAAATTTCTTAGTGAATTGCTCTTTTCCAACTGAACTACATTCAGCCCTCTTAGTAGAAACTTTGAGACGCTACATTGCCACTTTCCAAGTTCATTGATCACCTTGCGAAAGGGCATATCCGGCTTAGGATCTTTAAAAAAAAGTTTAGGCTTAACGAAGATTTCGCTTGGCCCATTATATACTTGTTTTGCGAGAGATTTCATGTCATCGTCCTTGATGATTGTAACAATTTCCCCTCTAATGTTCCTAATGTTTCCTTTACACTCAACAAAGACCGTGTTGAGGGCCTGCTCTGGCGTTTTTTGGAACACTACCTCCGGAAGAATGCGGAACATGCCACTTTTGTTCGTTTGCAGCAACTGAAGCGATCTCCTTTCTAGTTTCCTCACGGCAGCAGTTATGACATGAAAATCTCTTTCCATCTCGAAAAGTGTTATCTAATAGTTATCCAAGTTTTTTTTTTTTTTTTTCTGCACCACAGTCTCAGCTGTTAAACGAGATGATTAGCTACCACCAGCTCGCCTGCGTACTCCCATTCTTTTCACGAATGACAATTTCCACGGTGTGCTTAAAAAGCACGCTCGAAGCTTGGTGTCATCGCACTGGTACTCATGCACCTCACAACCTCGTGGTTTCTCATTTCGCTTTTGGTTTGAGGAGGAAAGTTTAGAAGGAAGAAGTTAAAAAATAATTTCATGGCCTCTTTAAGAAACTCGGAGCGTGCCGTGCACCTCATTACCTCTCCGCAGCCAATGAGATCGTGGCATTCGCCGATAGACACGCCAAAGAACCAATCACACCACGAAGCTGAGAGTGTGAACATGATTTTCCGCGCCCTGCGCTTTTTAAGTTTTTAGTAACTACTGCTAAAACTCAAAGTAACATTGCAATATAAGAACTTTATGATTGATATAGCTTTCATGCTTAGTGAAGAATAAGAACGTTAAGCCGACTTTATACATGCATATATATATATATATATATATATATATATATATATATATATCAAATTAAGTGAAAGCTTGTTATATCAACGCTCGTCTTCCCAATGTAAGACCAGCCCAACCACAGAAACCAAGTGCGAACATTCGCCAGCCATTTCACGTAAAAAGGGGGCAACGCAAAAGTTGGCTCTCGCGTGCAAAGTTTGCGAATGATTAAATACATTAACCCCCACCCACCTGGTCCAGTTGCTTGATGGAACCCGATAACAGAGGGTCACAGTCCCTGAACCAGTATATGAGCAATATTCCCATGCCTGTTAGGCTCAGATGGAATAATGATAAGAGTGTTAATCCAACTCCTGCAGTCCTGCATACACAACCCATGAAATATTAGTTTTGTCTTCCGACGCGAGCATAATTGAAACTGAATGTCACGATGCTTTATTAAAAATCTAGAGAGGAATGTGTTACAGTATGTTGCGTCCTCTCTTTCTCAGATGCCAATATTCAAAGATTCCATGATTTGCCTCAACTCCTGTTACTTCGCAATTTGATTGAGAAAGGTGGCATTCGCACAAAAACAAGTTAACCGAAACAACAATAATCGAAGTTTGGTTCGGGTGCATCCTCTTGTTCTAAAATGTCATGCCTCTCATTCTAATGTCTACACCGCGTTGGAAGAACATTAAGGTTTCTGAACAAGACCGACAGTCTAATGGTGTTTCTATGGCACCGTTAGCTTGTTAGCCCTGGGTGGAAAGGCTGGAGATCCGTACTGATATTTCCGTTTGAGCGGGGTGCGTTCCGTAGCGGCAAGAGCACGCCTTGCGTTGCGGAGAGCGCTTGCGCCAAGCTTGTACACGCAGGTGCGTTGACGCGCATTCGAGCGCAGTCAAGAGCCGACGAAAACGCGTTATCGTCGCTAGCGGCACACCAATAGCGAGCGAAGTTCACGGCAACATGGCGGCGCCCGGCGACAGCGTCGAAGTGGTCTATCTTGGATCAATCCTGCTGACTTTCCCGACATTCTATCGGGCTTGGACCGTCGCAGTCTTTGAACACCTTGAACGCGCATCCCCCCCCGCTACCCAAAACGAAAAAGTCGGTTCAGCGAACGGAGGACCGGATACGCACCGTCGAGTGGTGCGAGCGACCACGTGACCCTTCTCTCCTACCTCGGCTTCTGATTGGTCGAACGCACCGTAACACTTTGGAAAGTTGAGCGAGTCTCTACCTCCTTGCATCGCGCTACCGAGCGTTGCGGGACGGCGCGCGTCGTACCGCAAGTGCCCGCTACTGGCCGCAAGGTCGCCGCAAAGAATCTAAAACGCGTTCAAACGCGAATGTGCGTGTGGGCCTTGACCTTAGTTGTTGCCAAGTGGCCGTTTATTCGGAATTCTCAACCCCTAGAAATACCATTTGGCGTCTTCGAGGGTCCTCGATGCCAGGTATCTTTGAACGACCATCTGATCCATACAATATCGGTACATATGATGCGAGAACGCTCCTATTAGGCAGGCCCAGATATTCTCGTCTTTTGTGAAGTCCAAAGTAGTGCTAGGAGGAAAAAAAAACATGATTATACGAAAATAAAGATACAATAAAATGTAACATATTTTACAGTTCTGTTTGTTGACCAAAATAGGTATTTAAAAATACATATTAAAATATCAATGATCGCGAAATGGTATCCTCGCATGGGGTTTTTTCATGGCCACGAACAGGCGACAATTACTCGGGGGATGGGGAGGTGGGTGGGAAGTACGCATTAAACTCTTTTTATGAAACCCTCCACAGGTCGTACGAGGCGTCAGGAGGATGCCCGAATCCGGCCGGTCGTCGGCCAATCACGACCTCACGTGAATGACCTGCGTCTGGTCGGCGTCCGTCACCTTTCCAGCACGTCGAACGATCTGTCGGGCATTTGGCAGTGTATCAGCCAATGTGGCCCCCTGTTAAAAACAATTAAAGCCTTCTTTTTACGCCTTGTGTTGACGCGCATTTGGTAGGGTATGCTGAAAAGTTGCTATTACTTCCGCGTGCAAAATTGCAGGTTGAAAGGTCAGCTGTCACGGCCGCATACGTACTATATGTTTTTTTTTTTAAGTTTTAAGGGGGCCGTTTTTATGAAGAACTGTCCTTCTACGACCTATTTCATGACGTCTGACATATTTGAGGAATTGCTTCTCGACGATCGAATGTCTCTTGAAATGATTTAATTTTTACGGCTTGGCCTATGGACACTCTCAACTTATGAAACGAAGGGCGTCGCTTATTCTATTCACGTTTATTACTTCACAGTTACTCCTTCGGCCATCTGATCGGCTAATCTTGCAATCTCATTGGCTGCCGAATGATAATGACATGCCCGGGACATGGCCACACTCTCCGTTTCTTATAATCTCCGTGACTGGAAACCATTCTATATAACACACGAGCCGGTTCGCAGAAATACTCATGCCAACGTGCAATAATAAATAGCTCGAAGTCTTCTTTTCCTAAAATAGAAGTTAAATAACAAAATAAATATATCTCGATCTTACTTCAGGGCGTAGGTACCAACATCGAAGTCGCTGAGAGGGCGACGTTTGAAATCCTCACTCTGGGAGCCGTACATGGCTTTGATGACGAGTGTTGTTGGTACAAATATTGTAACGAGGGCTTGCATGCAGTCGGTCCAGACAACGCCTCTCAGTCCTCCCTAAAAAAAAAAAAGAAAAAAAAAAAGTTGAGAGTTTATAACACCCAGAGTTATTTAAATGCTGAAGGTAGGAAATAAATTATGAAGATCTCGCATTAAAGTTTAAAAAGATATGTTTTATAAAATTCTTGTTTAGCTGATAGAAAGGGCGATAATAAGGGCCAATGTAGGCCGGTACGAGAATGCAAGTCATGTTTGCGATGTCGAAAATGGCCATTCCGAACCAACTTCACGCGAGGAGTCCGAGCATCCCTTAATGGAAAGTGTACAGCGTCGGGTCACTCTACCCAAGGTTTGCACTCTACCTACGCGGTTCTATGTCTACCTACGCGGTATACATCATGTCGTTTATTTTTCTGCTGAATATGAAAATGTATTTTTTTGAGATGGCTTCATATAAGACTGCCGATATGTGGTTTAATTTATGTTTTATCGGTATGATAAACGACAGACTGGGCTGAGTGAATATGTTTTCGCTAGTATCAGTTGCAAGTAGCGCCTGTCCTTGCCGTTAATGTGTCTTTTATTTCATCCGTGTAGTTCGCGCTTTCAACCTTTTAAATGGTATGAACCAATTATACCCAGCCAAAGTTGAATTCTTTCTTCTTGCTTCGCTTGTCACTTTGTCTCGTCACTTTGTCGCTTGTCACTCTCGTGACAAGCAGTTTTTCTGGCGAATATAGGGTCGATGTTGTTTCGGTCACTTTAAAAACAAACCAATGCCACTGTTTGAACCAGGCTTGCTGATATTATCAATTTAGAAATACACCACCACCATATCCAAAAAAGAAAAGTCCGAGGACATCTAAGCACTTCTTATGTGTCGTGAATGCGAAAGCGGAAATGTCGTTCTTCCGTTCCCATAATTCGTTTGCGGCGTTGTGGCGTGAACGGCCACGTTTCCCCGGCTGCCGGCCGAGTGCGCGCTCTCGTGAAGTGGCCGCGCCGTGCCGAGCTTGGCCGTACACCCTCCCCGGAGCTTGCCCGAGCGGGCTCTGCCGACAGGCCCGCACGGCTTTTACCGGCGGCGGGGCCGCTGCGTGCGCTGTGCCGTCATGAAGAGAGCTTCTCTGGTGGCTTTCTTTGGAACTACGCCGCACGAGAGCCATTGGGAGCCTCGTACCTTGACAACGCGAGCCAACCACTGGGAGCATAATCCACCGGAAATCGGTTTCACTTCGCTCCATTTTGAAAGGGGATTTTAGATGCCTTTTGTCCAACGTTTGACGTGGTTTCGAAGCTGATGACGTCGGTTCGCTCCATGGGACAGTTAATGCTTTCGCAGTAAAACAATAAACATACGATCTAGCGCGGAGAACGCTATTTAGGCAGTTCGGGGACGGCTGAAAGCCTTAAAGATGGCGAGGAGCCTCAAGAGTTCTCGCGGCCCCCAAGAGATGGTGCTAATAATGAATAATGTCTATTAAGACTGAAGCATGCATATGTGATCTGAGCCGCTTTAACTCTACGCAAAGTTGGCGCATGATTATTTTGCGAGGACTTGCGTAGAGCACATAAGTATTGGCATATCCTCATTGCCTCACTGCAAAGAGCTTTGTTTAGACACAGTGAACCACAGTTGGTTCATGAATGTTGTCAACGAGGTTCGTAGTCGTGCATCTGAGCAACCATCTGAAACAATCACATGTCCTAGCGCCCTGGTGCCTGTGCAGCGATTATATCTGATGGACCATCCCGAGGTGCATTTTGGCGTAAATCACTAAACCGACCTGCTGACGAGGGCGAAATATATTGTGGATTTGGTTTGTTGAACATTCAATCAAGGGCTTCAATCGATCGTCTCCTTCGAGATGTCTGACATGGGCTGTGCTTTGCCCATTTGCCAAAACGACAATGCCACCCATTTAGGGATGAGAGATTCTTACACCATGCTGGGATTGCAGAAATGTCTAAATATGATAAAACACCCACTCCACAAAAAATTGGGGAGGAGAAGCCGATTTCCCAATTGCGCCTGATCTATAGTAAAAATCAAAATAAAGACATCCTTTCATTTAATAATAATATAGGCATACTTACAAGAGTTGTGTAGACAGTTCCTGTCAGACCCATCGCAAGGCAGCTCCACAAGAACGGGAAGTGGAAGACTACGTACAGAAATATATCAAAAGAAAGGTCACAATTACGAAGTGGCTACACTTCACTGACTGGCGCACAATATGACTCACTTGTTGCCATTGCCATCGCTGCAGCGCAGATAGATATCGCTCCTGTGCTTTGCTGAAATTAGGAAGTGCTTCTTATTTGACGAATTTTGTTCAAGCTGTCTTGGACATACATAGTAGAGCGTCCCGTGATTGAATAAGTGTACCCGTCTCCGTGACATTGTGCCCACGGCGCACGCACGCACGCACAAACACACACACACACGCGCACAAACACACACACACACACACACACACACACACACACACACACACACACACACACACACACACACATATATATATATATATATATATATATATATATATATATATATATATTTCGTAAAAAAGAGGTAAGCGCTTTAAAACATATTTATTAGACGACGTTTCGGCCTGAGTCAGTCCACCATCCTGATAAAGGCCTGATAAACCGATACGTCGACCAAAACAAGAAGCTTGCCCTGTTTGTTCAGTGTAAATATATAAATATTCGCTTGAACCTTTCAAATCATGTAACGAAAAGTTCCGAAACTCTGTCATCTGTTCCAAACCGCAACTTTAACAATACATGGTTTTTTCTTTTTTCCTTTTTTTTATTTTTTTTTTTGGGGGGGGGGGGGGGGGGGGGGGGAGGGGGGGTGAAAAAAATAACAATTTCTCTCAGAGACACCTGGTACATATTTGTTTGCAGTTCATTTCTGCCAAAGATCTAATTCAAAATGGTGCTACACACGTAAAAAACTATGTCGCCCGCATAAGAGTACGGAACCTCTTTTTAATTACTTAATTAAGATTGTATCTGAAAACAGGCAACTTGTCTATGGTGGGGGAAGTTCTTACAGTTGAAAATCAAAACCACTCGTGCATTTTTATGGGAAATCTACTGAAGCATTAGTTTATGAATTACATTTAATTACTTATCTTTTGAATGCCATATTTTGAGAAGGTTCTAATTGTGGTTACTCAAATGTGAAAACCGCATTGCATTTCTAATGTTCCAATACTTGTTCTTGTTTTTTATGACTATTCCTGCTCGAACTACGGAGTGAAGACGTACTATATGCGGCCTTCCTTGTGTTCTGTTCCATGGTAGAACTTTCCGAGCACCTGTTTGCCCATGCAAAGTCAGCGAAACTCATTAGAGCGATTAACATCACCGAAGGCCTAGCGTCCCCGCTGACAGTGTTCTGGATGTTTAATATCAAGTATGCTAAAGAGTACTTCAGTGCAGCATATGCAATTAAAAGGTTGCTTTTCATACTGCATGTCACAAAGCTGACGCCTCCTGCCGTCATATTCATGAACTAGTACAGCGACTGTGTATCACCAACGTTGTTACCAGTTTAGCGGTGTCCTTCTCACTTTAGCTGTGTTGCGAGTTCTCTGATTGTTTTTTCTTGCAGACGGCGAGCTTCTTGGAGATATTTTGCTTATTCCTTCCGATCGATGATGTTTTATATATATTTGTTTATTTATCTATCATGAATGGTTTATTTCTGTGTAAGGTAGATCGATAGGGTAGAGTCAACTTTGCTTACTCGTAGGAAGATTCTAAAAAGTACACCTGTTATTACCGATTCTAGGGGCTTTTGCAAACCTGCCGCGCAATTCACATACCTTAAAGAAATTTCTGTTTTGAAATAGCGGCTACTGGGTCGTCAGATGGCCCCGGTGACTTTCAGTAAAAAAGTCACGAAGTTCTGGGTTCTATAACCCTTTCTTTTCTGAAGCGGCCAGAGGACCCGAAACTTAGGTAAATGGCTACTGGAAGTAACAAGTGTTGTCAGACTACACCGGTACCACAACTAAAGAACAGAACTATGTGCAAAACATGCGGATAACGTCGGGATGGTAAGGTAGTACCGCAAGAATTTGCCGTAACTGATCCCTCGGATGTGTATTGCAAACACCAAATCGTGATGAAGCACGAGACATCTTACTCTGAAGAGATTTGATCTAACAAAAAGACAGGGAGCGTGCATGGGAGCTCATGTTAGTTGATCATGTCGTGTAACGGCCAAGACTGTGGTGAGGCAAAAAATAGAAAGTGACACAGAAGAGAACGTCGAAGTTGGAGAAAACGAGACAGGATGGGTTATTGGTGACATGGGCGACCAACAGCATTGTTTTCGTTGGCGTTCAAAGGTTGGTTAAACGCCCGATATGGTGTCTGTATTTTGAATAATTTTGCTTTTATCGACGAAAATAAGAACAATATCAATCTGTCAATTGTCAGGGCGTTATTTTACAAATGCGACGAATCCAAGCTTCAATCCTGATTTCTGAACACACCATCGTTTCTCTACCGATAATAAGTAGCCAAGATTACAACTTGTGGCGTCACAGCAAGGCAAATCTTGGTCGTGACGTCTCGAATGAAAACCATTAGATGGCGCCACCGAGACATTCCGGCGCTAATAATTTGTCGAAAAAAAAAGAAGCCTTCTATTGCTAATTTATTTAATTATTGTGTTTATGGATTAAACAAAATTCATGCTCCAATCCACGCTGCGAAGGTGGTTGGACAGCGAAGCTGTGGTATCACCTGCAGTGATTGCCCACTGCACTATAGACCTTTTTTAAGGGACACTGACACCCCCCAAAAAATATTTTCCATTTTTTGCCAGGCGCTTTATTATGGTGTCGGAGGACTACCCAATTAATATTTTGCAACAGAGTAACGTATATGTTTAATAAAGCCAAAAGACGCAACTGCTCGAAACCGAAATCGAAACCCGCGCATAGAGGTCGGAGAAGAGGAGAGGAGAAAGTGAGAACGAAATTTGAATATTTAAATTTTTGTATCCGTACCCCTTTAAAGGCACGGTAATA